TTCTCAGAGCTGACAGCAGCCACTGTGTACTGGGACCCTGATCACAAGCTTGTCAAGTTAAAGGAGGGGGTGATGGAGGTCGAGGGGGATGCTTACGGGTTCCTGAATAACACCCTATCCAGTACAGGCTGGAGCGTCCTGGAGATCCGAGCAGGGTATGGAAAAACTCCTGAAACGGATGAGATCACTTTCTTCCTGGCTGGCTACCTCGAAGGTTTCCTGACTGCCCAGTAAGTGCTGTCAGTTCTTATTATAATCTTATTTCTTTCACTCAAATTCTGAGTCTGGGCATTTTGTATTCATTCTTATACTTGTACTCATTCTTCCTCCTCCCGAGGCAGATGATGGACCACTACACCAACATGTACCCGCAGCTGATCACCGAACCAAAGATGCTCGACCCAGTTCAGAAATTTATGGAGTGAGTCTGTTCCCTTTTCCTTTTAGAGTTACAACCCGAGCAGCAGAAATGTCACATCTACTTCACAATCTGTATCTTTCATATCCTCTTCTGAAAAAAGTTCAACCAAACATTTAAGCACTCTCAGCGTTGGCATTCAGCCACTCTTGACCACAACAGAGCTTACAGAAGTTCACCCCTGACATTCATAATGTTGCAGAATAAAGAACAGTTTTGATCATGTTTTTCTGCTGATGCAGTATTACGGTGGGAGTTTTGTACAGTAGCAGTTATCTGTTTACTTAAATGTCAGTCTAATATGATTCTTGTATATTCAGGAAGCAGGACTCATGGGTCAGACAGCAGGTGAAAGGGAACAAGAGCTCCGATCCTCTGTGGAAACACGCCGGCTTCATCATGGCTCAGCTGGACGGATTGCAGGCAGGAGTGGCAGCGTGGGCCAAGAAGCAAGGGAAGAAGGTAGGATAACCATGTGACCAAAAACAAGAACAGTGAAAAATTACTAACAAATAAATCTGCACTCTGAGATGCAGAAGCATCAACCAACAGTTTCATATCAGGTTTCACAGCCTTAAACCATGTTAAATATAAAAAGTAGAAGTAATAGTACTTAAGAAGATTTTTATAAATATGCTACAGAGCCAATAGTG